GGCATACAAGCCATCTTAAGGACATGTCAAAATGTAGTGCACTGTACTAAAAGGTCTGATCGATACCGAATATCAATGTAGTTGAAATACTTTTCTGCAAGCAAATGAAGCAAAATATCATCCACTCCCAATGAGGAGGAGTGAACCTGCACAGTAAAATACAGCAATGATTACAAGCTCTAGAAAAACAAGCCATACATAGTATCTCTCAACAACAATTAACACTTACAATACTATGAAGAAAACGGTGGTATATTGAAGAGTGAAACTTTCCAGAGTTTCCAACCTTTACAAACTCCATTAGTGCATCTAATACAACTTCCTACATCGTTTAAGAAAAGAATGGAGTTAACACCTCGTAATATTCAGCAAAAACCTAAACAAATATAAATTCAAATTTGAAAAGAAACATGATAATTGAACTGCGCTCACCCTTAGGGCTTGTTCGCACTGGGAAGAGGTGGCGATGTCAATGAGGGATTGAACGAGGTCTTCGAACTTGGAGCGGAGCCAAATACTATAGATAATTTCGGGATCATCTTGGGGGTCAGCAGCTGCAGTGGTCGAGGGGAGGTCGGGAATGAGAGGAGTGAAGAATGCTTGGAGGGAAAGTAGCGCTTCGAGGGCATATTGCGGAGCAGAAGAGGGATTGATGAAGGTGAGGAGGACAGGGAGGTTATTGATATGTGCTCTAGAAGACAAAAGCTTGTTTCCTAGGGTTTTCAGCTCCGCCAATGTCTTCGCACCCTTCTTCTTGGCCATGGCGGCGTTGTTGGAACCGGTTATGACTCAGATTTTTGAAGAATAAATTAGGGTCATACAAATTTCAGGATGTTTGCCGCCACTGCGCTACTGCTCTATATCTGTGTTGTCCGAAATTACCATCACCAGTTGAGATTTTATTAGTAGATTTATGTTTTCATAAATTTTAAAGAATAAATTGTAATTTATGTCATTCCAGGTTAATTATAAATGTCACTTTTTAATTTAAAATTATATAAATTTTATTTTTGAATTATCTGAATGTATATATTATTATTATTATTATTATTATTATTATTATTATTATTATTATTATTATTATTATTATTATTATTCATTCTCCTTAAAAATATTATTCCTGAATTTTGAATTTTTAAATGAGGATGTGCGTTATATACATACGTTCAGACAATTCAAGGACAAGGACAACATTTGGTAATATTAGTCTAACCATGAAGAGTTCATGCACTTAACTCACTCAAATAGTAATGGCCAAGTATAGAGCATGTGGAACGATACATTTAAGGCAAGCCCAGCGTACTTATTAGAGCACCGACCTGACCGACCCATATTAGAGTGTAAAGTATGGAGGAGAACGCACAACAATTACTAAGGGGCCGCGACACTTAGTGGTGGGATGCGTTACACGTGTTTGGAGCGTTGTGCTTATTAATATTGCAATTGTTACCACTAGTATAAATGCTAACCCATATGTAACACGAGGAGGGGCACGCTATGACTTGTACTCAAATTCGTGACAATAAAACTACTCTACTTGATTATTTATTTTCAAATATACACTGGTATCATTTATATCGTCATTGGTGCTTTCGTTGAGACTCTAAGATCAACTCTCAAGCAGGTTGAACACTTCACGTTTCTCATCATACAAAAAGATGACATGATCTAGATCAAGTGGCTCTCGTAGTTCCTGTAGCCCTATACCACAACGACAATAGTAGCGCTAGCATGGACGCCCTGCCGACTGCCGATGAACTCGCGTGACTTTCAAGACCAGCTTAGCAACAACCGTGGTGGTGGGTAGCAAGGGCCCGATACACCAGTACCACATGTGGATATCCAGGCAACTGCTTAGGCCATTCAGTAGACAGTGGCGACGCTAACCCAATTAGTGGCAAAGAGTCAGGGTCAAGTGCCCCAGACACCTGCGCAGGAGGATGAAGTGATATCTCCACAACGAGAGATGACCCAACATCGTGGTGTGACCTATGCAACCAGCAGTTGTCCTGAAACTCAGTCTCGCTATTAAATGTAGTGTTCTTTTGGATGGAACACTTCTAGCAATAGTTAAAAAGAAAATTGAACGCCTGACAAAATATGATACAAATTACATAGGCATGCACCTAATTATAAAATCTACATCTACATCTATAATTCTATCTACAATTATAATATATATATATATATACAATTATAATAAGAGCGAATAATGTTAGGCCCTTAACTTGAATAACAAAATATCTGTAGTAATTGTTTCTTAAAATGGATGGTTCATATTATTTTGATTTTAGTTTTTTTTTTTTTAAATAATTTTTCTTATTTACCCTTTATTATATTACTTTCTTTTCTTAAATAACATTAAATTCCGTTAGTATAAACTTTATTAACAGAATATTCCGTTAACTATTTATTATTCTTAACTTACTCATTAATTTCTATAAGAAAGATCTTAGGTTCAAATATCATCCCAATTAGAGTTAGCATAATTGTTAAATACATACTACGAATATGTTAAAATGTATTAAAAATATAATATAAAATTTAACATAAACTTTGGTCAAACAATTAGCCCGACTAAATACATAGCATTCAATGATTATAAACCAGGAACTTTGAAAATCATTTGATTTTCTTTCATAAAAAAATAAATTTAAGTTAAGTTTTTTTTTTCATTTAATTAATCTTTTTTTGATTATTGAGAACAAAACTTAATATTTCAATTATGCTTTTATCAATGCATGAAAACTTTTAAAGAAATTTGTAAGTTAATTTTTACTATATTATTGTAAAAATATCTATTGTAATTTTATATTTTGAATTATTTATTATCATCTTCTATTGACAGCAATTGTCATTGACAAATTATCAAAATAATTTGTTTCAACAACGAATGAAAATTTAAAAAAATCAATGATTTTATTATTGTGGATGGAAGTATGTATGCCACTTTATTGCACTTATTAAATTAAAAAAATAAATTAGTAGCTACAATAAAAAATAATACATATGCATTTAATTAATTTAGAATTAAATGTATATGATGTCTCTATTTAAAAAGAATTATTCATTATAAAAAATTTAAAAATAGATATAATTTCATTAGTTATATTATCGCTTTTAAACTAAGTACTTAGATACTTAGATTAGCGTTATTACAAAGTTGTAAATATTTATTTCTGTGGCAGTTATATATAATCAATCTCTCATATATTATCTTGCATTTATATACTTCAAATTACCGATTTAAATAAACAAATATCAACATTTATTTACCTATACATGAACATCTTCTATATAATATTGCATTGATATACTTTGAAATATTTATTTAAAATGACCATCGGGCATTATCCCATTGGTGCAAAGCACGTAGAAAAACTAATTTTATTAGATAAAGATCAAATGTGATTCATGTATAATACTCTAGAAACACAAAATGAAAATTTATCTTTTACATTTAATCTGTTTCCAAAAAAAAAAAAAAAAAACTTCTACATTTAATCTTATAACTATTAGGGCATCCTCAATAGTGGGAATTTTGGTGTGGTTTTTGAGGAGTTTTTGTATATGTAATTAGGAAAGAGGAAATGGGAAGAAATACAAAATAAAAAATAAAAACAAAAAAAAAAAGGGAAATTAAAAAAGTAAAAAGTAGTATTTTAGACGCTTGTCAACTTTTTCTTAGAATTTGTGCACAATTTCCTTATTGGAGATGCCCTTACTCATTTTTTATTTTAGTCCTTTAACTTATAAAGATATTTAAGTATTGAATCATTTTTAACTGGGAATAAGATTTAAATTGACCACTGAACGTAAACTGAAAATGCAATTAGGCAACTGAACGGAAAAAAAGTGTAATTAAACTACTAAACACTCCAAATGTATGCAATTTCACCGGATAGCAGGTTATCATCAATTTTAGCAGGTTGCCTGCTTACGTGACAACTGAGTAAACATTTTTAATAATTTTTAATAAACTTTAGTAATAGTTTTTTTTTTTTTTTTTTTTTTTTTTTTTTTTTTTTTTTTTTAAATTAGATTATCCAAAATATTTAGAAATTATTAAAAATGCCAACTCAGTTGTCATGTAAGCAGTTAACCTGCTAAAATTGATGGTAACCTGTTATCATGTGAAATTGCATACATTTGGAGTGTTCAGTGGTCTAATTGTATTTTTTTTTCGTTCAATGATCTAATTGCATTTTCAGATTACGTTCGGTGGTCAATTTTAACCTTTTTTTATTTTTAGAGTGAATTCCATTTTTGGTCTTACTGTTATAGGGGCATTTCCAATTTTAGTCCACCTTAATTTTTTTTGCCACTTTATAATCACTATTATTGAATGTGTTTCACTTTTAGTCCCATCGTTAGTATTTCCATCAAGAGGTCGTGTAATCTAGGAGTATTTTGACCTTTCTTCTCATCCAATATTATGTTTGACTAAAGAAATGAAAACATTAAACTTAAAACCTAAGAAACCTCGCCGGCCCATGTTGGAATGAACGAAACGATGTAGCTTTGGCTTCCCATTCTTGTTGTTCGAAGAGCCATCTTCGAATATCGGAGGAGGATGACGAAGCGCCTGGATTAAAAGAGAAGAGACAAACATAAAAAGATCAAAATATCATTTGATTATACGGTCTCTTGACGAAAATATTAACGATAGACTAAAAATGGAATACATTCATAACAGTGATTGTAAAGTGACAAAAAAAATTAAAATGAACTGAAATTGAAAACGCCCCTATAACAATCTGACCAAAAAAGAAATTCACTCTCCTTTTTAAGTATAATTCAACTTAAATTTTTACTGTATAGACCATTAAGTTGATGGTAAAATTGAAAAATCATGACTATAATCAGAGCTTGGAGTCTTTATTTTTTATCCACAAATTAAACCATCAGTAAATCTAGTTCCTTTTGCAGAATTTTAGAATCCACTCAAAAAACATCTTCGTAACCTGCTGATCGAATCAAATTGGTTTTCGTACAATTGCATACAAGAATGCTAAGAAATTAGGATTATTGGAAGCTATATATGCCATTGTCTTCAAGCAAGCTACCAGGAGAGGGATCTTCTTCTTCAATTCGAGAGCTATTAGACAACATAATTATTATGGTGAGTTAATTAATGTACACTGGCCGTAACTCTTCTCCACTTCACACTTCCAAATTCTGAGTATTTAGTCTCGTTGTAATTGTAATTTTATGTTTATTGTTTGTTGGCTGTGAGGTTATTTTTCATATGAATAATATTGATTGTAAGGTGTTCGACAAAATTCCTCAGTGGTCTATATGGACAACCGCAAAGCACATTGACAGCTCTTTTATTTTTCTTACAAAGTTTTCAAATCTTTCAATTAGGAAAACAAAACCCTCCCTAGTGTTCGCTCTCCACCGAAAACAAGAATTTGCAAATTAGATGATTAGTTAATGGGAGTAACTTGTGCTTGTGGAATTCTTTTGCGTTGCATTCCAATCTTGCTAAGCACTAAGTCTTAGTTGAGAAAGGCGTCATCTTTTATTCATTCCTGTAGAAATTGAGTGAAAAGTTACACAAGCTCTTCCTCAATACTGCTTAGGTTCTAATGTGTTCATGAACAAACTTTACAAACCAAAATGGAGTAGGTGTTATGCAGCCAAAACCTTCCTTGTTTAGGTTTACCTATGAAGTAAATGTTCATTTATTTATCTATAACCAATAAATGTATTTATTTATCTTTTATTTTCTCAGGTTATTTTTAATTCTAATTGTTCTAGGTTTCTTGTGCCAAAGTAAAATAAGGTTTTTCTTGTGGAAGAATAAAGATGCTTAGTAGGATATGCAGACGTAGATTCAGCTCTGATTTTCCTCAACCATGGCTCTTTATTGGGCTGGGCAATCCTGGTGATAAATACAAGGGAACAAGACATAATGTATGTTGCAATTCTGTTGAAAAATCCTGATTGAGTTATGCCTTTATATAATGTGCAACTTTATTTTTCCGGCAGGTTGGATTTGATATGGTAGATGCATTTGCACAGTCAGTTGGCATCCAGATGGATGATGTACATTGCAAAGCTATATTTGGGAAAGGTGACTTTAGCTCAACCACTTTCTTTTTGTAGCTTTTAAGCGAATATTTTTATACTGGTTTATATGGTTTGTAGTAAGGATTTGTGTCCATGTGCTGATTGGTGTTGGTAAATTGCAATTTCCAGGTTTCCTTAATGGAGTTCCCGTTTTCCTTGCTAAGCCCCAAACTTATATGAATTTGAGTGGTGAATCTGTAAGCTATTAAATTTATGTTTAGAGCCAATTGATGCTTTGTTTTTTCAGTATGCCAATTGCCTTGATATCTAGTTTTAGGTCATTGGTGTGGAATTTATTTTACTAATATGATCTTAATTCATGGAAAATATTTCTTGATATGGCACTAAATTCTTATGCAGTGATATGAGAGAGTGAAATTCATTATAGCTATGCTTGCTCACTGGAGTTGGACTTAGTTTGGCACTTCCTTAATAACATAAATCATGCTTTGTGGTGTCTAAGGATCCCCTTCACTCCACTTTCTATACCCTTGTTTCTCTCCCCTTTTCTTGTTTTTGTTTTCACCTTTCTCTATGTCACAGTGTCCTACTTTTTCAGTCATGAACTTTGTAATGGTCATGACTGGTTGAAACTTTGAGGGGATTTGATCTTAGCTATTCGTATAATGGATCAGATAGTTGTAACTTGTAACCAATGCACATATGGTAGCAGATCAATACTTGGTGGTTCAATGTGTCTCCCCTCAATTTTGATGACTTAAAGGTCAATGCAAATAGGAATATAAAGATTTGTAAGTCAACAAAATGTCTTACTGTAATTTTGACATATTTTTTAATTTCTTGCTCTGTGCCTCATTTGTTTGTTGGTTGAATAGAACATTGCTTAGTTATATGGTGATATGACAAATAACTTTTGTTTGTTTCCTATTAGAGTGGACCACTTGCTGCATATTATAAGCTTCCACTCAACCGCGTGATTGTGGTATAGTCTTTTGGGCGATTCAAACTTTTAATTCTTATTTGGAATTGACTAAATACTTTGTGACACTTGGACATAATGCTTTTTATTGTAGTTTCATGATGACATGGATTTGCCATGTGGGGTACTTCGTCTTCACCCTAAAGGAGGTCATCATAGTCACAATGGGTATGACCATTATGTCTAAATTTAATCACAGAATAACTATCATGGTATGTGCATAGTTGCATGCTTGGGTCTTCATAGCTAATTTCAAGTCTTTGATTTTTATTTTTATTTTTATTTTGGTTTTGTTTTGTTTTTGTTTTTGTTTTTGTTTTTTTTTTTTGTTTTTGTTTTTTTTTGTTTTTTGTTTTTTTCTGTTTTTGTTTTTTTGGTTTTTATCTCAAAAGTATTTTCTAATCTTTCAACAAGTTGGCTGTTCTTATCTCTTCATCCTGCACAAACCTGATAGCCACTAAAATCTTCCAATTGCAATAAAAGCAGAACTTTGAGTTGCCTATTTAATAGGGCTACTAATTGGTGGCATTTGTTTTATGTTTATTAACACCTACCTCCCTAACTGTGTTAGTCTGTGTTACAAGAGATTGAATTTCTGTGGCATCCACATCCTTATCATTATTATTGTTATTACTACTTTCACATTGCTATGTGGCCTGTGCATGCTCCATGCTAAAAAACCAGAACGTGAACTTACATCTTTTAGGATTGAGATACATCTTATGAAACTGCCAGTTAAAAGCCTCATAGCTAGTTAAGAAGTCAACTTCACACTAAGTATACTTGGGTATGTTTTACTTTAAGCATATATGGTTTATATCCTGTTTAGGAAACATCTTTTTATCCACATTATAAAGTTCTGTATCTTGGTCTCCTTTCTGTTTCAAATTATACCAAATAGGTCTCAATTTACCAAGCCACTCTTTATGTGATGAATCTCACCTGGTGTTTGTTTTCTTAAGTTTTGGATTGCTATGCTTTAACTTTTAACAGCATAAACTCCTGATTTCTGGTAATTTTATGGATATTTACAAAATTCACTGCCCATATCTCTACTGGTTCTTGTGTTCCGGTTAGCAATAGCTTTCAGAAATTAAAAATTCTTTCATATCTGTATGTTTGGTATTAATGTCTGGCCAGTACATAAAATACTAACAATTGGTATAGGAATGTTTCTTTGAAGATATCTAACACTGTTTTTCTTTCTATATACTTTTTAGGTTAAAGAGTGTGATTTATCATTTTCGTGGAAACAAAGAGTTTCCTCGATTAAGAATAGGTTGGTGGAACCTTGGATCTCTTTATTATTATTATTTTTCTTTGTTTGCTTTTAGCTTTCTCTTGTATGTCGAATAATTCTTATTTCTCCTGTTAGGCATTGGAAGACCTCCTGGTCAAATGGATCCGAAGGCATTCTTGCTTCAAAAGTTTAATGCAACTGCTCGAGAACGGGTACGCTCATCTTTGTTATATTCTACTTTGTAATTTTTAATATAATTGTCCTCCATTTGTTCCTGATGTGTGATTAGTGAAATGAATGGAATTAGTTTGTGAGCCTTTATTGAGGGACTTTGACTTGCCATGCTTTTAACAGTATTGGTTTAATTGAGCATATTTTTGGTTGCCATTTATATGTAATTTATAACTGTCAATTTTGATTCAAACAATGGAACAAAGAGAGTCTCACCTATGTAAATATGACAATAATACCTCCAGTGTGCAGTGTCTAGATCAACTCAATGTTTTTATTCCTGCATATACAATATGTAGATCGGCTTGTTTTAGTTGTTTATGGTCCCTGCATCAACGAAGAGGAGTTAAGGAAAGTTTAGGGCCCGTTTACTAATTGGAGAATTCTTGAAAACTGAAGAATAGAAAACAGAAAACATGTTTACTTGCGCAGTTTGTCATTTTGAAAAGGGTAAACAGTTTTCCAGTTTTAACAAAAAACTGGAGAACTTTTTTCGGGAAACAGAATCTCTATCAACTATTTGACTATATATCTACCCCTACAGCCACATTCTTACCACATCCTCACCTTTATATATTTATATATTTATCCAATACTATGATTACATTCATTATTAGCTTATTTTACTTATCACCACCTTTTATCCTTTCTACTCTCATTTACTTTATCTAAACATAACTTATTTGCTTATAATTAAAGTTAGACACTTCACATTATCACAATTAAAACTCAAAACCTAAATGAATTTTAAGATTTTGGTTTGACTCAATAGATTATTGGTTTGAATATTTTTAGTTATGTTATATCCAGATATAAATTTAGTTCGGATATCAAATGTTAAAATCTTACATATATTAGACTCAAAAGTAAACATTATATTTATTCTGTGTAGACTAAACATATCCAAAAATATTTTAAAATAAGGTAAAAATATCACCCAAAATTGGACTTGTGTTAATTTTATAACACTAGTCTAAAAAAAAATAAATTTGGAAAAATGAGTGCTAGTAAACAAATTTTCTAAACAGAAAATAGAGAACGAAAACGGAGAATAGTAAACTTAATGGGTCTAGTCTTTTGACAAGTTATGCACAAAGAACCCTTTTGGATTTCATAATGACTTTTAACTTGCAGTATTTTGATTGTTTAACGGGAAATTTTTTTAAGGCGGCATGTTTTGCTTGTGAGAGGTTGATCATGTGAATATGATGTCTTTTTATTGAATTTAATTTGAGGGCCTTGATGAGGCAGAAATTATAATGTTCTTTGTGTTATGGAGATCCTATCAGAAGGAAACGGCCTTTGGGGTTTCTACCAACCCAGCTTCCTCAAAAAAAAAAATGAAATAAGTGATGCACGCTTAATTGTTTCAAGAAAACCATCTCACCATGGCCATTCCTCTTTGCTTTAAGGGGGGGTGGGGGCTGTTGTCTTAGTTTAGATACCTCAAAGTTTTCTATGCTCCATATTATCTTCCCAATAGAATACAGTTCAAGAGGAGTATTGATCTACTTTTTGACAGGTTGATGTTGCTTTACAAGAAGGGGTTGATGCGTTGAAACAGCTCTTATCCAAAGGCTTAACAGAATCTGCGAGGTGTTTTAACACTCAACAAAAGTACAAGCATATAAGATTACAGACAATCCGGACATGATCATGATTATATTCAAGCCTTCAATCAACAACATGATGTTTTAGAGTTAGAGTCAAGAATTTTAAATTTGACTAAAAAATAAATCGATAAATCCGACAACTCGATAGAACTAGCTCGAAATTGAATGGACTGGTCTGATTGATATCCTTACAGTTACACATGTTCTTCCACAATACTATTTATGTCACAAAAAGCTAGACTAAAGGCACTATGAACAAATTTTTCGAATTACAATGGAGTAAGTAGAGAGCGTTTAGTAGTGAGGAAAATTTGAATTTGTTTGGAAATTTAAAAGGTTAGAAAATTGTTCTCATGTTTAGTGTAATTTTTAACTTTAGAAAATTTGGATCAATGGGAATCACATCCCATGATATGAAGTAAATCCTACTTAGGGGAGGTAGGATTCTTTTTTTCAAGTGACTAGAAATCTATCAAATTTATTTAATTACGTATTTATCTTGTTTGGCATAAGGTTAAAACTTAAAAGTCTAATAAATATAAAAATTTGTCTCTTCCAAGTTCCACCATTACACATTGTTTATCATTTTTTTTTTTTAATCTAATTTGCAATATGATTCGTTACGTAATGATGCATTGTGTGTGTGTTTGTTTGTATAGGAATTTGTTTTGTTTTTTTTTTTTGAAAGGAGTTAGGGATTTAATTATGCTATTAATTCGATTTAGAAGGCTTATTTGACCTTTTAAATAAATTATTAGGTCATTAATCATTTACAACAGAAGAATTAAATCATTTTAGTATAAAAAATTAGAATAAAGGAAGATTTTTTTTTTAACAAGGGTTAATTTTATTTTTGGTCCTAGATTTATAGGTGACAATAAACTTTTAGTCCTTTTTTATTATTTATTTATCAGAACATCCCCTTTTAGTCCTAGTATTATTGTGACATGACCATTTTTGGTCCTCCATCAACAAAATCGTTGAAATGTCATTAAATACAAGGACATTTCATAACTGAAGACTGAAATGTCCTTGTATTTAATAAAATTTAAACTGTTTTGTTGATAAAGGACCAAAAATAATTATACCACAATAATACTAAAATCAAAGAAGGATGTTTAAAGAAAAGGACAATTCATAACAATATGTGTGCATCTTATGTGTTATGAATTATGACGGATTTTTTAAAGGAAAAATATTCTAGGAGGTTTTTATAGATATAAAACATTCAAGACTATATAATGAACACACTTAAAATATTTTGCAAAACTAAATCCTTTATGTTATATTAGACAAATCTTACTGGTTCACTAATGAAACAAATGCTATATATAGGAGTGAACTATGCCAATAAATGATAAGATTCAATTAATTTTCTAGTCAATTTAATGACATTAATAAATTTATTCCTTTTTATTTCAATGTGAGAATCTTTAATCATATTAAACAATTACTTATGAAATTGAGAAACAAGTAAAAAAAACTTATGATACAACTACAATTATTTTAAAATTTTCTTAAAACATAAAGTGTCATCTCGCACCATGAATTATATTAGATTGTTCATGCCGTACTCATAAGGTATATTTAAATCCATGTACCATTAATTTTTTTTTCATCTAATACTTTTTATAGGTTTTTCGGTTACCATGTGGAACTTCTTTCATGTTTTAGTGAGCCATAAATCTCTAAACTAATCCACCTAGCACCACTTTTCTCTGTTCTTTCTAGCACAGGTTTTCAATACCCAAAACCACGGCAAACACAGCAACAATGATGCCGGCTCCTGTCATTGAGGAAGTCAAGGCCGAGAAGAAGCTGCAGAATGATGCGCCAGTGGTGAAAGACGTTAAGGAGGAAGAAGAACACGAGGATGCCAACCTCGATGATTCCGACAATGACGAGGTGAGAACCAAAACTCCTATTGCACGGTTTGCAGAGGTGAGAACGTCCCGATTTTGGAGTCTGCTACTTTGCCTACTTGTTATTAGGAGTCTTCTCAGCCGCTTTCATTGAAGGATGTGGTGTAGCTACATGTTCACTGCCCCATTGCAGCCACCAAATGACTGCAAAAAGATGAAGCCAAAAGGAGTTAGAGAAACACAAAGATGGGTTAATCCCTTACTAGAATTCCCTTAAAGCAGGTGTAACTATCTTTACTATTTCAGCATAAGCTACTCTCTTCCATTGTTTGCTTTGAACTATTAAGAGGAATAAAATACTAGTTGCAATTGTGATACTCAATTTCAACCCTTCACATTCTCACTATACTCATAGTGAGATTAGCAATACTTTCTGATTGAAAACGCGAATTGAATTGTAGCTGTTACCATTGTGTTTTCCACCGTTGCCGCGGCTCAGTATCTCGGATATGCTCCAGCACCAGCGCCTGGACCTGACGCTGGAGCGGCGGTTACCATACGATCTCCGGTGCGTTGATTGTAGCCTAGTTTATCTTCTCTGTTGCCGCTTTTCTGAGGCATTGAAAAGCTTCATTCCTCTAATCAGTTATGTTGATGATGATATTATTCTTTTTGTTGTGTACGTTGAAGTTACGTTGATGATGATATTATTTTGAAGGTGCAAAACTACAAATTATTGTTCTCCTAATCTCCTTGGGATAGCTCCTTTTGATTCAAGCTTATAATTATATAAATTCCTGAAGAATTTGAAGAAAAAAAAAAAGTTGAAGCATAAAACAAATTGAAAGGCACCAGAAGGAGCTATCAATTTTTTTTTTTTTTTTTGAATGTGAATTCTTTGCTTCTGCATTTCTTATTGTTTTAAGAAAGGCAACATCACTGTTATGATATAAGTATCTGTATAGTTGATAAAACTTGTTGAAAACAAATTGAGAAATGTGTTGAGCCAGACTTACCACAAACTCTGCATCAATATTCGCGGTCGAGAAGGAGCATACTTGGGTACTCAACGAACCATTTTCCGGCGAGATTGCATGCCATCCACCACCATCAATTCCAGCGCCGCCACGCAAAGAGGGGGCACATCGCTCCTCCTTCCCCCTCCGAAACTCAAGGACTTACTTGTAACCTGTAGGTAACCTGCAAAAAAATGCTAGATGAAAAAAAATTAAGGGTACATGGATCTAAATATATCTTATGAAAGTTTAAGGTGCGGCATGAACAATCCAATATAGTTTATGCTGCTGGATGACACTTTAGCCAACATTTTATTATATCATCTACTTCAAAATAGAAAAACATATGTCTACTTTTCCTTTATAGACTAAGATGGAGATGTTGACAACTTTTTTGGCGCATTGGGAGAAGGAAATGAAGAAGGGATCCTTTGAAAAGCACACTAAGGGGATTCGGATAAAACTGTTTGAAAATAGGGGTTATAATAAGTGAGGTGTTCTTGGCAACTACATGCGAATGAGTTTCAATCACTACAACGAGACTAAGGAGCAGCACTTCAAGAATCAAAATGTGTTTGATATGAGATGTTGACATACGATTTTGATAGCGTAAGAATACAGAAAAAAAAAGAAAGAATAAAATTAGAAAAAGATAATAAAATTTTCAATTGCAGATATTGTACATGAATTTGGTATATGTTTTAAAAATTAAATGTGAATATAAATTAGTACTAATTAAAATTATTTAAAATTTGTTAATATTAATTTTGATAAAAATAAATATATATTATATTAAACTGCTTAACTCAAAATAAATTAAGAGATGCAATTATAACTAAAATCACATTCTTACAAAATAGTGCAGGTAAAAATGTAAAGCAGGGACAATTAGAAAAAACAGTGATAAAAATTAATAACTGAGTTGAATAGATTATTTTTAAAGGTAGCAATCATTTAATAAGATAATAAATCATAAATGATAATAATCATTAATAACAAATAGACATATGATCATTTCTTTAGAATAAGCAAATTCATAGAAGGACAAGAATTCTTAAAAAAACCAATCATGCTTCAGTATATACTGTTTCTCTACCAAAGTCTCTAGTCATACATGCATGAATGTCTCAAACCATCCAAATCCAACAGCAATCATACATTAATGTCACAGACCATCAACATCCAACACACTCTAAGTTGCGTTTGGTTCACGAAATGTTAGATTACCTTAAGGGGCCGTTTGGTTCACAGAATGTTAGATTACCTTAGGGAATGTTAGATTCATGTTTTTGGTTAAAATTGAGGTATGTAATATAATCGTGTTTGGTTTAGGGTTATCTTTTATAATAATAATAATAATAATAATAATAATAATAATAAGCTAACATAAAATATATATCTTTAAATAATTAGAATTAAAATGACAAAATTTATAAATATCAAGGTTATCTTATATTACCTAACAAAATGAAGGGAATCACATTCCCTTCAAAATCCTATGTGAAGGTAATGTTGCATTCCCTATGAATGTTATATTCCCTCAGAGAATATGAACCAAACATAGAAATGTAAGCTTGGGAATGTCACATTCCTTTGGTTATGTAATATAACCTGAACCAAACGTCCCCTAAAGAATATTAGATTGATGAGAATGTTAGATTACTGGGAATGTTAAATTCCTGTGTTTAGTTTAAAACTAAGATATGTAAATAAGACAACGGTAATAAGATAAATTGATTAAAACATCCAAACCCCAACATTAATAATAAAACAATGGAATGTGAGATTACCTAAGAAATTGGAGGGGGCAAATTATTGTATGGACCATGATCCACATTTGGGTGGACCATGAATATAGGGTACATTTTTAATATACTAAAGGTACATTATTTGTGTACTGAAGGTACATTATTTGATACGTAGTATCTAAAAGCATAATAAGTGTGAATGAAAGTTATACCCCTGATTTATGTCCGTTTTTTCCGTTTCGTTTTTTTTTTTTTGTACATTATGATATAAAGGTTGTACATTAAAATATTTTGGACAAACATACCCCTACCGTTATAACTTCTGTTATCTTTTCCACTATTGTTACCATGCACATGCATCCACCATATATTTTCTTATCTTCTTCATTAATAATAATATATACACATTAAATATTTGAGTTATATGTTAATTAGT